GTCTCAGAGAATGTCTCTGGAGTGAGTTCTCTCTTCCCTGTCTCTGTCTCAGAGAATGTCTCCGGAGTAAATTCCCTCTTCTCTGTCTCGGAGAATGTCTCTGGAGTGAGTCTAATTCTGCTCTTCACTCTTCCCTGTCTCTCTGTCTCGGAGAGCTGCCCCTGGCATTCTAGAACTTGGCCTCCCCCTCCGGTTCTGGGCTGCTCTTGATGTGACCTGGGTAGACAACTTTAATTAGTTTTCTACTGGAAACTGTATCCACGTCTTTGATTAAACTACGTTTTTGACCTTGAACTTCTCAGTGCCCTCCCCTTCCCTTTTTTTTAGTTTCCTTAACAGTTTCCCCAAAAGAGGAAGAATCAGTTGGAGAAGTTAAGAAAAGAGAAAGAATTTCTTTTTAAGTGAAGTTAAATGAAATATGATGCAAACACTAGTAATATAAACTTCTGACTAGAACGAGGGAAGTAAAGAAAAGTACATTTAAGTAAAACTGGACTAGGGACCAAAAGGACTAGCAGAGTCCCACAGTGTTACTTCCTCTTTCCTGCATGTCCTATCCTTTTGGACATGCCAGTGCTGGACCAGGGCAGAGCTCATATATTGAAGTGGAGGAAAATGAGTTCCATTTCGCCATAGGTTTTACTGTTGCTTATCGAGTCCTGTGTGTAGCTCTTTAGCTGGATACTGTTTACTTTTTACATAAAGCAACAAAAGTGTTTTTTTGAGCTGTCACTTGAGCTTCTACATAGTTACGTGTATTGGTGGCTCGTATAACATCTTAAGATTATGGTAGACTGTTTATTAGGAAATAAATAAAGCAGTGGGATGAGATCCTATGCTGAGTCACACTTTCAAGCAGGAGCAGGAAAGTGCCTTTTATGTGGATGTGTGTGTGTTCCACCCCCGCTCCCTCCTCTCTATTTTACTATCTTCCATGTGTTAGGAGAAACACTTAGGGCCCAAACACAGGTAGTATTTATGTGTCTCACTGTGTAGGGTGTTGGAAAAAAGAAAGCGGTTTGGTTTTAAAAATGCTTTAAGTGAGAACATAATGCAAGCAAACAGGGAGACAGGGTAAAGATTACCGTGGCTATGGGGAAAACATTTTGCGCCATAAAAAGAAAATCATTTATATAAATCTTGATAATGCACACTGGTAGGGAGTGTGTTAGGCCTGACATTTCAAAGGAAGAATTTCCCAAATACTTCTGTGATTTTTAACTTAAATCTTAATCAGGACTCACTTTCTTGAAGAAATATCCTAAAGTAATTGTAAAAACCAAATAACCTTGAGGGGATATTTATAATCTATGCATTCTTGAATCAAATCCTGAATGTTGTATTCTTTCATTTACACTGTTTTCTGTTAATGAAATAGAAATTCTAATGATTCTTATATAAGCATGTTCTCTGGGAGAATATTTGGAGTAAGCATACTGCAGAAGACTTCAAAGTTTTTATATTTATTTTGTCTTCAAAAAATACAAATACGCTTTAGCATTTGAGGAAAAAGTAAATGATGAACTAAATGATTTTATTACTGTATATTTTAGACAACTGGTTTATTAGAAGCAATCATTACAAAATAGATCTCTTAAGAATGTCAGAAATTTAAATCATTTGTTATGAACATTATGGTACCTTAGATATATATTAAAAAAATAAGTTTCAGAAGCTAACACTAAGTGTTGCTTTCTTTGCTCTAGTTCCTATTTCTGCTTTGAAGTTATTTCCTTGGCTCTTTATAAAGCATTTAGTGCCAGAACTTGGGACCTGGGGCTTTTTTCCCTCCTTCCTTAACTGATTTCATTAAACTACTCAGGCTTGGTTGCATGAGAACTTTAACAGAAAGTTATTCTTAGTTACAAGAACCAGAAAGCTAAATCTTCACTTAGCTTATATCCTGCAGTTATCCCTCATCTTATACTAAATCTGCAGAGTGAGGTTTTTTTTTTTATCAGAAGTATTGTCCTAAGTTTGATTAAGCCTAAAGAATCCCAATAATTGCTTCAAATGGGTGGCTAGATAAGTGAATAGGATGTAGGGTTATAGATAAGAGGTCGGGGTACAGAACATTCTATGTGTAGTATTTGCTTTTTAGATTGATGGTTTTTAACTTTTTAGGATGGTTGTCATATTGTTGGCTGAAGTGGTTCTAAATGATGCTGTTAGTACTGGTAATTCAAATCCATCATGACTGTACTAATATTTTGTAATATTACAGTGTGAAATGGGAAATGGAATCATTTAAAGAAAACATTTAGGTTTCTGTTACAATTTATGACACTCATAAATTTGGCCTGGTCAGTCATGTAATTTTTACCTTTTACTTACTGTGCAAGTACATAGAAAATGGCATGTTTTTTAATAAGGGAATACATTTGTGTGAATAAAGCCAAGGTCAATTTGATAAAGACTTGGAAGGTTTTTATTTAATAAGATAAGACATTTTTTAAGTGTGTAGTTGCAATAGAGTACCACCTGTTTAAGACTTGATGGTCACAAAACTCTTTCTGAGGACCTCAGCCAGATTACTGAAAGTCAGAGAATGTCTCTTCCACATATACATGTATAGTGATGTGTGTACATAGGATCAAAGCTCTAGAGCTGAAAGGCCTCCAAGGTCATGTAGTCCATCTTATTTTACCGATACAAACAAATGGACATAGAGGACTTACATAAGGTCCCATAGCTAGTGTGTGGCTGAGCATTTGCCTTTTTTTTCCTGACAATAAAAAAGTCTGTATATCTGTTATTGTTTCTAAATTCTATAATCAAAACAGGATTCTGTAAAGCTGTGTGATAGACTGGAGTAACTTTGGTGATACACTGAACTTGAATTTGACTGTAAAAATATGCATTACTGACAGCTGTCATGAGGCTCTTATGCATCTGGTTTTTCCTTTTTTCTATTATCTTCATTCCTTTTCCATCAAGGGAACATATACAATTGCATTTTTAGTCTTCATAACAATTCAGAAAGTTTTCCAGGAGAGGGAGCTACTTGGTGATTAAAAAAAATCATGATAGCTCCTTCTAATTTTTTTTTTAATTGCCAAATCCCAAAAGAGAAAATTTTCTCCTTGATTAAATTAGACTTGTAGTTTAAAATACAAACAAACCAAAATAAAAAACTTTTGTACTAGTAACCCCACCAAATTGTACTAGAGTTTCAAGTTGTAAAATTTCTTCTTTAATACTGATCCTTACTTTAGAATTTATAGCATTATAGAGTGTGAGAATTGTGTAGAACTTGAGCTTGTTACCCACTTATTTTCTGTGCTTAATAAAAATTGAATAGTAATGACCCACAAAGGCCTTCTTGTATGTAGCAGTGGTATATGTTGTGAAAGCAGTAGATTTTTGACCTGATATTGGGGTCAAAGTATCCAACTCTGTCTTCCAAGTTGGATAAAGTGGGCCAAATTACATTCACTTTGTTGTTGCCTTGCTTTACACTTAACCTGCCTAGTTTGGGGAAATGTTCTCTGAGTTGCAACTTTTTTTTTTCCTTAAGAAAGTGTGTGTTTCCTTTCTGTTGGATAAGAAAGGAGGTTTCAAAGAGAGACAGACAGACCGAGATGGAGACACAGTATTTGGGATAATGACAAGAAATGATTTACTGAAAGCAGGGACCGTCCCATTCTTCTTGTTCTTGCCTCATCTTTTCCTTGTCTTTGCATTTCCAGTGCTTTCATATTGTCTCCCTGAAAGATACCTCAGTCCTTTAGGGTGTGATCTGTTCTTATACTGCCTAATATCGGAGATTAATTTTTTGCAAGGTGATTGTACATCTTCAGATCTGAGTTAATGGTGGTATTTTAAGAACAGAAAAACTACAGATGGGAGTAGAACATTTAAATTTGTAGAAGATAAAAGGAAATTTATTTGCAAGGATTCAAGTAGTGAAGGTTCTAGCCCAGTCTCTGCCAGTAACTTTGATGTGACTCACTAGGTAAATCCCCTTTTTGCCTCCCCATAACCTACTTCCTATTTTAGATAGTCTCAATGAGAAAAATACATTTCAGCTCCTCTGTATAAGTCTGTGAATAACTAGCACATATGTAGGAAATAAATGTCCAGAGTAGGGGTTACCACTCAGTGATTGTACGCCTGAAAAGTAAGTGTGAACAGGGATGAGGTTAAGTATTAGTTTTTTAATGGTCTGGAGAGGAGAAATCAATACTAGTCCTACTTCATAGAAAATTTAGCTTGGCAGTAAGTTCAGTGTTTACCTATTGTTTACAAAGGGTGAGAAGTGACTTTAATCTGATAAACAGAATGACTTTAGATTGAAACATTTTATTAGAGATTAGCAGATTAATTTGAAACCTGTTCAAGTTAAGGTTTACCTTAAAATATCGGAGTCTAAAAGTCGTTGGCAGGACAGGGTTACGTTTTAAAGCTTTTAGGTTATTCCTAGTTAGTTTTGATTTATTTTCCTTGCCTTCCAGAATAATTTGTACAGGGAAAGAACTATATTTTAGAGGTGTAGCTCCATATGGAAGTTCTATATGCTGAGTTAAAATCCAGCCTCAAACATTTACTAGCCGTGTGACCTTGGGCAAATCACTTAACTTTCGTCTAGCTCAGTTTCCTCATCTGTAGTCTGGA